CTGAGGAAAATAATTCATTTTATGGTTAAGCTTGCATTCTACACTCAAAAAGATATGTTGTTAGCTAATCCATGGTTATCTGGAATAAATATTGCAAATTAAATGCTATGTATCAACATGATTAGACCCTACAAATTTTTCAATGATTTCAAACTCAAATAAAAATAGGATCCATTAATCCATCCATAAGGATTCCTACAGGCTACATATTGACTTAATTTCAAAATGCAATGTACACTATGTTTTATTGTATTTTTATTTCTTTTATTAAATATTTCCCAATTATATTTTATCTGGTTCAGGCCACCCTTGGGAGTATTGAGAGGGGCCTACAATCTGCATGTCTGACATCTCAACTTTAAATTACAACTCAAATATCACCCCCTCCAAGTAGCCTCTTTAATCAGGGATTCTTAACATTTTTGATAAGCATTAGATACTTTTGACATTCTAATGAAGACTATAGACCCCTTCTCAGAATATTGCTGTTAAATATATAAAACAAAATACATATGTCTACAAAAGAAACCAAAAATCGACATGGTTATCAAAGTTAAAAAAAAAAAAGTCCATGGACTCCAGGTTAAAAAGACCTGTCTTAAACCCTAGTGAGTAATGGCTCTTCTCCCTCAGACTTTGTACTTTATACCTCTCTTCTGCACTTGCGTTGTATTATTTTGTACTTTAAAATCTCCAAGATCACAAGGACTATCTAAATTTTATCTTTAGTTTTTTAACTCTATCAGCACCTAGTATGCTGGGCACAGTAGGTACTCCATAAGTTAGCATTAATAAATAACTTGACAGTGTTGTTTGTCTATCGTTCTTGAAGAGGACTAATGATATTATGAAGGTGATGTCTTGACTTGCAATTGGATTTAAGTGAGCCAGGTCTGTGAAAAGTCACCAGCCTCTGGAATCCTCTGGGTCTAGTGGCATGATATAGATCAAGATGACTGGAGACGGCCCCAGATGCAGTGGGATACCTTGGTTTTTTTAAGCTAAGATCTTTCCCAGATCTCAGTTTATCTGAGGCAAAGCCTATTCAGTGATTAAGGATAGGTAGGAAATGAGGCCCAAAAAACGACTTCTTTTACCTAGTCAAAAAAGTCAATCTGGGAGGGAGAGATTCTCAGCATTTCTGGCCAAAACAGAAACAATTGCTACTGACACTCACTCTGAGACATCAAAACTGAAACAATGACCAAGTGAGACTTGGGATGGGAAAAAAAGACTCAAAGGTGGCAAGACTTTATACAGAATGATAATATTTACTAACAGAAATAGGGAGGGAAAGGAGCAGATTTAGGGGGAAAGATAAACTGCTCAGCTACATTTAGTGGCACAGGTAGGTGGAGATGTCCAGAAGACAGTCTTGTAGGCCTGAACCTCAGAGCTACTGTTATAGACTTGAAGGTTCTTTGCATAGGAGTCATCTTTAAAGCCACAGAAGTAGATGAAATAGCCAAGGTATAGGAAGGATAAAAGAGGAAAGGAAATAGACAGTAATTAAGCACTTACTATGAACCAGGGACCATGCTAAGAGCTTTACAAATATTATTTCATTTGATCCTTACAGCAGTCCTGGGAAGTAGATGCTATTATCATTCCTATTTTATAGCTGAGGAAACTGAGGCAGACACAGGTTGACTTGCCCAGAGTCACATAGCTAGTAAATATCTGAGATCAGATTTGAACTCTGACTCCAAGTCCAGAGATCTATCCAATATGCAATCTAGCTGTCTCTGCCTATTTGCCATCAAAAGATGACTGAAGGCACATGCTTAGGGGACAACAACACTTATAAGGTTGGGAAGAAAGAACTACCAAATATGATTCACTGTTGGTGGACCAATGGATGGAAATAACCATTCTGGAAAACAATTTGGAATTAAACACAAAAACTTAGTAACCAGTGCATGCCCTCTGGCCCAGTTATACCACTGCTAAACCCATACTCTAAAGAGATGAAACAAGGAAGAAAAGGTCCTATATATAAAAAAGCAGCTCTTTTTGTGGTGGCAAATAACTGGAAACTAAAGGAAAAACCTGTCAACTGGCTGAACAATAACTGAACAAATTGTGGTGTATGAATGTGGCAGAATACTATTAGGCTATAAGAAATGAAGAAATAGATGATTTCAAAGAGTCACAGGAAGACTTGCATTTATTGATGCAGAGTGAAGAAAGCATAACCAAAAAACCAAACTAAACTATAACAACTTTGAGGACTTTTATAAACTGAGGAAGAATGAACTGAGCAGAACCAGAGAGCAATCTCTGCAATAACCATAGTCCTGTGAACACAAACAGCTTTAAAAGCTGTAAGAACTGATCGACAGAATGACCATTCATGACGCAAGAAGGCTGATGATGAAGCATGCTATCCACCATCTGACAAAGAAGTGATGGATTTAGGGTATGGAATAAGGGGGGTTTTTTGTTTTTGTTTTTTCTCAACCAATGAGAGAATTTGTTTTGCTTGACTATACTTATTAATTGGTATGAGGAATTTGTTCTTTTCTCTTCAATGAGATGGTATGGTAGGATGGAAAGAAAATCATTTTATATTGATTTAAAAAATAAAACCCTAATTTAAAAAAAACTATGTCCTCCTGATCAGCACTAAATTTTATTTTTTTCAAGTTTTAATAGAAAAGTAAGCAGTAGCAAATTTAAAAATCATTTTACCCAACTTAATACGGAATTATTCAAATGTTGAAACAGATCTGTAATCTCTTAGATGTAAGTACATTATTACTAATAAAAGAGTTTTATTTTCCTAGTGCAGAGTTGGTTGCCAAAATGGTACCTGAAGACTAGACCTGGTCACACCATTCTCCAAGACCTTCAGTCCTACTGCCAAGAATTATAGAAAGTGTTCCTAAAATATTCATTGGAATTGCTTTGGGATTAGGAAATAAATTGTAAATCGCCACTTGGGTTAATATATGCTGTTCCATGAGTTACTGCCCCACATTGCATTGAAATCCAAGAAGCAGTTATAATTAAAGAAGATCAAAGAGATGCGTAATCACTATCTTCATTCAGTTCTGCTATCTTTCAGTTAAGATAGAAGCTGGATTCCATTTCTAAATATAAGCCTGTGTGCACTGATTAACTGAAAATAATTTCTTTTAAAAAAATAATCTCTATCCAATCCTGTAACATACATTTCAGCTGCCTACATATTGTATTGCTCTGTGAAAATAGTAATTTAAAAGTCTTCTGCGTAGGGCACTGTAGTTTCATATCAAAATAGCTAGAGTTGCTGAGACTTAGTTGACCCTTTTACCTCAAGGTGAAGATCTGGGTTAATCAAAAGTTTATCTAAGTAGAGTTTAAAAATGTTAGAAAGACTCGGTTTTTTTCATTCTCACCACCAATAAGTTGGAATCCATATTTTTTAAAGTTATTGTGCATTTGCTATTAAGTATTTCAGTACTATGAATACAGATCATTAACTTTTTTTCAAATTTCATTGTTATTATTATTTTTTAATTAATTAATTAATTAATTTTTAGTTTCCAATATTCATTTCCACAAGATTCTGAGTTCCAAATTTTTCCCCCATCTCGCCCCTCCCCCCAACCCAAGACAAAATGCATTCTGAATACCCTTTCCCCTAATCTGCCTTCCTTCCTCTCACCCGCCCCCCTTCCTCTCACCCGCCCCCCTTCTCTTATCCCCTTCCCCTTATATTTTCCTGTAGGGCAGGATAGATTTCTATACCCCATCACCTGTATATCTTATTTCCCAGTTGCAGATCACCAACGTTTAAAGATAAACCAGTGTGTGCAAACTTCACCATCACAAAAAAAAAAAAAGAATGGAAGTTCTTAACCTTTTTTGGTGTCATGAACCCCTTTAGAAATCTAGTGAACCCTTCTTAGAATAGTGAATTGATTTGTTTCAGTTGTGTCCAACTCTTTGTGACCCCATTTAGGGCTTACTTGGCAGACACTGGAATGGTTTGCCATTTCCTTCTCCAGCTTATTTTTACAGATGAGGAAACTGAGGCAAACAGGGTTACATGGCTTGCCCAAGGTTACACAGCTAGTAAGTGTCTGAGGACAGATTTGAACTCAAGTCTTCCTGACTCCTGACATAGAGCTTTATCTACTGTGCCACCTAGCTGCCCCTTTTTAGAATAATGTCTTCAAATGAATAAAATAAAATCCATAGTATTAGAAAGTAGACAAATCATATTGAAATAGAATGATCAAATATTCTTAAAAACAAGTTCATGGATCCCAGGTTAAAAACTCCTAAACCAGAGGGTGAAAGTCCTTAGAAAATGCTATAAACTCATCTCTTGCATACTAGACACTGTTTTGTTTCCCAACCCTAAGATCTGCTTTACCCACACAGCCCAACTTTTCTGTCTGACCCTTCATGTCAAAGAGCTACTGGATCAAACAGGCACCTAACAAGGAAGCAAAACAAAGCAGGGTGACTGCAGCTATTGAGTTCTCAAAACCACATGAATTTTGCAAACATTACCAAGATACAGTAAAAGATGAACCAAGTCTCTATAAATCTATTTTGTATAAATTCCAAATGGTTTAAAAATGCCCAAGTTATTAATATAGAATAAGTCTGTGTTGCTATTAAATTGCTAATTCAAATGTATTTCTATAAACAGATGAGAATATAAAACTTAAGGTGAAAAAGGTAGGAAAAAAGTCACAAAAAAAGACAAGGAAACTATAATAAGCTTTTCCTCTTTCACTTAGAAAAAATAATCAATTATATGCAATGTACTTAGGTTTTTAACTTCTTTTATCCATTCCCCATTTCTCCAGTCAACTGTTACATAAATAACAGACCTAAAGTACATATTTTTTTAAAAGTTTTATCACAGGGCAAATTATAATCTCTGCACATAGAGATAATGATCAACATGGTAGCTACAAAACTCCGGAATAGAAAAGAGTAAGGTTTCCTAGGGTCCGTTGGCTAAAACCCAAGTAGATCCATAAAATATCCATTTAATTTACCTTGTAGTGAAAAATGGAGATCATCGATGCCAGAGGAAAGCTGTTCATCTTTGGTAGGAGGCATAGACGCAGATGCCATTCTTTAACGCTATGGAGATTATATCATGTCCTCCGCAGTTAAAGAAACGAGCTGAAAGGAAAAGGGGGGAGGGAGAGGTACATTAGTAATGTCACAATTCAGAATGTCTAGTAAAAATATGCACTACCAAATAAGCAAGAGAAAAGCCTCCTGTCTTGAAGAAACAACTTTTTTTTTCTCTTAAGGTGTTTCCTTAGTTTATAGGGGGAAAGTGGCTACGCCTTCTTTTTTACAATAATAATCCCGTTTTTGCCCTATGACTCCATTCACGTTCTCTGGAATTGCTGGCAGAACTCCCAAAAGAACTAGAATGTGGATTCTGAAATGACTTGTCATGAGAAGGAACCCCAGCAATTAGAAAGATTCAAGTAGGTTGTCCAAGGGAAGTGATGGTAACATCAGCTGATGACATCCTTGGCTATTTTGTTTCTGCTCCCACTTCGAGGATTTTCTTTAAAATACTGGATCTCATTGAATTCCTTTCTTGCTCAGTAACTATTATAATGCATCGGAAACAACAGAAGCAGAGCCTTGGAGAGCTTAGGAAATGAAAGTAACAAAGAATGTTTCAGACAAAACTGTTCTACTGGGTCTCTTTGCTCCTCTTCCCAAGGTCTTATTTTCTATATTTGCATGTTTCTTTTCCCTCCAAGACTAATCTCATCTTTAATTTAGTGTCAAATAATCTACTCCTCCCTACCCTGCCTCATACAATCAGTTCTGATTCATATGCACGAAGTTACTATTTATTACTTAGGAGGCAGGAAGTAAAACACTTCTTCAGACACTGGTATTTTGAAGCAAAATACAATATAAGCCAAAGCCAATAGCTAAGCAGAACTGAACCACTAATATGTCTAATCGGCCATTTTCAATAATAAACGGAAAAAGTTATATGTAATGATAATTATAAACTATATTGTAAATATTGTTATGAATAATAATAACATTGCACCCACAGAATTTGATAAGAATGCTTCTAAAAGTTAGAACAGCAGTGTGGTGTAATGAATAGAGAACTAGTGTAGTAAGGATAGACTCAGGTTCAAATCCCACCTCTGACATACATGGGACTATGTGACGGTGGGCAAATCATTTAATCTCTCAATACCCTGGGCAACTCCCTAAATTGTAGACCAAGTGGTGACGTGCATTGATTGGCAGAGGCAATAGTTTTCTCAATGGGAGTTCCCTATACCAATGAAATCATAGGCCAAAACAAAGAAAAGGTTAGGTTTCATCATTAGATGTGCTCAGGGGTAATTAAAATTCTAAAGAACATTTTATGAAAACTGTTAGGTAGTAATGGATACATAATATAATAGAATGTAAGCTCTGAGGATTGGAACCCTCTGACGGTAGGGACTGTTTTTATTTTTGTCTCTGTATTAATAATGCCACTTAACACAATGCCTGGTAACAAATGTTTGGTAAGAAATGCTTATTGAACAGAATTAAACAGGAAAGACAAGTTTAAAAAAAAGCTTTATTTATTTTGTTTTCAGACATTTGTTTTTTGATCCAAACTACTAACAAGAACATATCTTAAATTCTGGGGGTTTTGTTTTTTACTGTCACTTGTATTTAAATTGAACATTTAAATGGTACATCTTTATGTTTAGCAACATCAGAGTTGAAATGAAGCGCTACTACACTAATTAATATTCCTTGATATCAAATGCTACTATTATAAAAGGTCACCAGTCACTGAAATTTCACTTTAAGAAAAAAGGGTACCATTAGTGTTTTTAAGGGGTTTTGTGGGGTTTTTTGAGGGGGGTTCTCTCTTTTTTTTTTTTAGACTAAGTTTCCCTATCTTGCCCAGGCTGGAAGGGCAGTGACCACTATAAGAATAATTCAATTCCACTGCTTGCTGATCAGCATGGAAGCTTTGACCTGTTCCAATTCTGACCTGAACCAATTTGCTCTTCCTGTGGCAGTCTAGTGCCCTCTCCATGCTAGGAGCTGGCTATATTGGTACCAAACTTAGTGTGGACATTTAATCATCTTTAGACCTACTGCAGCTTGGAACTCCCAAACTCAAGCAATCTACCAGCCCCAGTAACAGAGACTACAGGCATTCAGCACACCATTGCTGGCCAGTGTATCATTAATAATGAGTCCTGCACAAGGATGCTAATTCCAACCTCTTATCCTAAGTTACTTAAAACAATGCAAAGAAACAAACAAAGGAAAGGTTTTCATTTTATTTGTGCTTCATCTTCTTCATAAGAAATTAAGAATAGTGCAGAAAACCTACTAATACAGTTTTTCACAAGATCAAGAAACTTTTCTCAGCAGGGCTTGTATGTTAGTTTTCCTGATGATGGAATAAAATTCATTTTTCTGTGTAAATTGCAAAACACAAATATGAACTTCTTTAATGTATTAGGACAGCAAGAAAACATTTAGGCTTTAAAATTACATGCCTGCATTTTTAAAGCAGTACCCTAAGGAAGTTTTTGCTTTTTAACCCCCAACCAATGGAACTTTACTAGCACACAGATAATTAAAAAACAATTCTTACTGAGAAAGATATCAAAAGTAAGAACAAATTGTAAATAGCTGAAAGCAACTGGAAGCGGTATATTTAAAACCAGATCTCAACCTCAGTAGAATTATGTATCTAAAAGCCATGCTGCAGAGGAAATGAGAATCTAATTATAGCTGATCAAGCTATCTTTGATGACTTGCTATTTCTCCACAATAATTGTTTCTGGTGTTGGTATGTAGAGGAAGGAATGAGTTGGCCTCTCCAAAGAGCGCGTCAACCGTATACGGTCTATGTAAAACTGGTAGAGGATAGCAACTAAAAACTTGATGAGGTTTCCCAAAACTGTGACTAGAGAGACTAAATGGTCAGTGGAAAGAGGAAGGCAGATGGAGGAGTGGAAGACTGAGCCAGGGAGTTAGCATTAGTCATAGGGGTACTCTAATCAGCTAAAATTCCCAAAGGACTATCCTAATTACTTGTGCTCTGCCTGTCCTTTGAGAAATGTCATTCTAAAAGTGAAGAATAATGGGGGCTGCTTCCTTATATAGAAATAACGGTCCCCTCTATTTACTCATGGTAAATGAGGCTCTGCCAGCTTTATTTCTCTTTTTGAAATAAAAGTTCACCACAATACACCAAGTTGCCATAAACTGCAGAGTTTGAATTACAATAGATCTTGCAGTTAACATATCCTATTGTTTGAAACCGGGAGTTTACCAAGCTAGATGGTATAGAGAGCTCTTCCTGATTTCAAGATCAAAGGGTTAATCTGCATAGTTGTATTTAACAGAATCCACGGAAAATGCGGTATAAGTTTAATAACATGAACTACTTTGAAACAAGTGTGGTTAGCTTATACAATACGATTTGATAGACTTGTAATTTTTGGAAATCTGGGAAAATTTCTGTATTTCTGTTTTTACAGAGTAGTTCCAAAACGTCATTTGAGGTTATGATTGAAATAACATCTATTTTTCAAGCTTGAAAATGTGGGGAAAATAGACCTGGAATACAGGAAGTATATGTTTTTATGTCAATTTCTCTACTTTTTTGCTATATATACTGTCTTAAAGACTGACCTAATGCCTCAAAGTTTCTGAGTTTCACAGAAATTGCTAGAAAAAAATTTGGAAGCAACATTTTGTTGGTTAAAGGGTTTTCTGTGGCTAACAAGCCCTTCAAAATCTAGAAGTATTAGGGGGGGAAATACTGTTTGTGGAAATAAAGGTCATATCTTTTGTACTCAAATGTTGATTAGGAGATGACAAAAAAAGCCAGGAGATATTCTATTTTGATGTTTTTCAGACATGTCTTTAATATGATGATTAAAATGGTTTTTAAGTAAGTATAGCTTCATTCATTGAGAGCCCTTCGTTGTTAATTTTCCTACTTTTCTATAGCATCACTGTTATTTACAATCCACCCAGGACTTCCGAAGGGTTTCTGTCCCTTAGCCAGGGCTCCTAAGTATAAACAGTGGACTTGTCCTAGCAACACATTGCTATTAGTATTTGATATACTCAGAAGGCCTTACAACAAAAAGTTTGTGATACTTGTGCAATCCACTTCTAGATGTTCTTTTATAATTTTTTTTCCTAAGAATTCTTTTACAAGATGGTTAGGGACCATTCTAAGCAACCCTTTAGGACTGCTCCAGATCTTGTTAAAGTTGCCAAACAAATACAACAATAACAACGACAAAGCAGACCTAAGAACTCAAAAAGCAGAGCCATCTAAGACTATTTAGCGTAAGAACAATAACATAAAAGACTCTTAAAAGTTTCTGAGAGTATTACTTCTGTACTGGGCATTAGATCATAGTAAAAAAAATTGATTATGAAAATAACTTACATTTTTATAGCCTTCATTGCTCTCTATTTGAGCCTCACGGCCACCCTGAGAGGTAGTGAAGTTGAGGAAAATGAAGTTCAAAAAGGTCAAATGACTTGCTCAAGGTCATATCACTGCTAAGGACTAAGGTCTTCTGGACTCCTTTTGAATAAGGATTAGAGTAGACGTCCACCAAGGCTTCTTCTAACTCTAAAATTCTTTGATTCTACAATTATTATCACTTTAACTTTGGGCAAGCAAGAAGAGGTTAAATTATGTTCATTAATTTCAGAAAGGAGGAAAGTATACTTTCAGAAATATTTCTAATAATTACTAATTTTTTTAAATGTAACTGCCCAAAGGATTTTGTTTCATTTTTCTGAGAAAACAATATATGTAGTTTGTAATACTCAAGTCAATGAATATCCATATGCAGCATACTGTAATGGTAAGAAATAATGGTTTGAAATCAGGAAGAAATGGGTTTAAAACTTGCCTCCGACACTTACTAGCTGTGGGATACTAGGCAAGTCTCTTAATCTTCCTAAAACTCAGTGTTCTAATCTGTAAAATAGAAGAAATGATAACACATATCTTACAGGGTTATTATAAGTATCAAATAAGCTAATATATGTAAAGTGCTTTTAAAATGTTAGTTATTATGTAAAATGCTAGGAATTGGGTGGATTTGGTAGAAAGAGACATCTTTGATAAAGAAGGAAGGGTA